ATCTAATACCTCATTTGTATTTTAAAAATAATCTACATACATAGATTTATAGCATTATTGCTATGAAAATACATAATAGGTACCTATGTGATATGTAATTACGCATTTTTGTTCATCTTGTAGAAAATTAATGTAGGCTAATAATAGTTCAATAATCATAATTTACCTTGTATAACTTGCATTCAATTGCTCAAAATCACCGATCAGTCTTTAAAGTAGAGATACGGAAAAATCCTTGGCAAAGAATATCCCAAGATCCTTGGGTTTAATGCTAAAAAAATATAAACACAGTTAATATATTACCTATTTTTACATATAATATGGCCCATACCTACTACACGCAGAAACGTCGATTTCATAATTTTCTTCATGTAATTAATATCATATATACTTTATTAAAGTATTAACAAGGAACTTTATATCAAAAAACCTCTTTGTACTTATAAATTTCAGCCGAAATATCAGAAACAAACTTCCAATCAAATCTAAACGGCAAAAATTAACATGGCGCCCGACCTTGCCAGAGGCCTCGGGAGCTGACGCTGACACACAGACGAAAGACAAAAGAACAGGACGCCGACGTGCATAAAAATGTTCCGTAGCAGAAATTGACAGAAATCATACAGAAATATTCAGATTTTTGTCTAGGGCAGTCTAGAAGGCCATGCTTTCTACCTGGGTAGAACTGCGCCACAACTGTTTCCAATTTTCCAGTTTTCTGTCACCCCCCTGACTAATACTAACGTTGTGGCAATATCCATCTTCCCATTTACTTTGTAACAGTCAAATTTCCTCGCAACGACCTCTGTGTGCTAGCTCATAAATTAACGCAAATAACTATTATTTTTGCATCATGTTTACTATGATTTTATTGTTAAATATTATTTTATTTAAATTTTACAATTATGCAATCCGATATACACCGCGCTGCAGCTGCACATTATTGTCACTGATGCCGACCAGCAGTAGGCTTTTTGTCCATCTCTCTATATCTTTGGTCATCACTTGTCACTTGTCACTGTCAGATCAAATCAGATGTTTCTGGTTTTATTTATCCTTTGTTTTGGTTATTGAAATTTTATAATTATCAGATAAAATTTCGTAGTTAAATTGGTTATTTTTTATGTGGATCGCAGTGTGCAATTCGTTCATTTAATTGTGGAATTTCTGAGTTTAGTTCGTTCATTGACCGGATATGAAATATGACAATGGAAAATATTCTAGAACATAATTTTTTATTTATGCCTTTTTGTGAGTTGGACTAGTCAAGATATATAGTTCTCTATCTATATCCTGGAGGGAGATTTCCGGTTGAAATCTGATTTTGTGAAGGAAATCGAACCCTTGCATCACTTCTTGTGTATTTCCCGACCGAAGAACATCGTGTGAAGAACTGGCTGCCTGTTTCGTGAAGCATTTCCTGTTGGTAATTAGCAGGTCTTCTTAGAGGAGGATTAAGTCTTCCGAAACACATTTGGTTAGAGACGTGGTTGGATTTTGTTGAATTTGTATGGACCACCGACCAAATTTCCGTCAAGGGATTAAATAGCCGAATTTTCACCCGTTGTTCCGATTGCACGTGCCCAAGAAGTCCCCGAATAGTTCCAAGGTATGCTATAATTCTTCTACCTATTCTAAGTCAATGCTCAACTGATTTTTGTTCATATTGTTGTCTGGTTTTCGACTTTTCCA